TCTTCGAAGATCTTCGAATTTTCTAATTCTTTTCTTGAACCCTCTCCTACAGACTCAATCTTAATGTGAGTTATATTATAGATTGAGTTACCATAATATATTTTACGTATGTTTGACTTATCATAATTCATTTTATACAATTCGTATTTTATTAGTTATATTAATACAAGTTATGTTTTATAAATATTTCAGTTACGTGGATTCATTTATGAACTCTATTTGTTTAAAATGGAACCCATAGATATGTTTGTTTAAATTTTAAAGAATATTTGACTATAACTTTATAAACAATTATGTTTTGTAAATACCACGACGGGAGTTCCACGTCTTGGGAGACTTAAATAACCATTGACCTCTGTTTGGCCACTTTGTGGTCCTCTGTTTGTCATGGATCCATTGACCTCTATTATGATTGTCACTTCTGTGACCTTTCTTTTGTTATGTTCTATATCATGGTTATGGTTATTTATTTACATAATTTATGTATTTCAGTTTCTGTCACTTAAATGATTTATTTACCAAATTGAGTTATGTAAATGTTTTGGCTTAACTAACTATCCATGGTTATTTTGTATTCCCTATACTTTTAGCATAATATTTCTCACTCTGCTGTGTGCTTATAGCTGTTATCTTTTCAAGTGACGAGATGTAGGGGAAACCCATAACCTCACGAAATGGAACCCGTACATGGATTGATGTTGAACCATTATTTTGTCTTTTTTTTTTTATATTATATTTTTGCTCCCTTTTGTTATACTCGAGGCCGGTCACTGAATAATAAAATAATAAAAGCCCTACAAATGTATTTTCTCTTATTAAAATAGTAATGGAGTAATTTTCTGTTTAATTATTTTTATTTTCGCTTGCGCAGTTTAATTTGCTACAAATAAAATAAGTTAGTAAGTTACGATTCTAACCTTAAACCTCTAGGGTTGGGTCGTGACATATTTAGTGCTTTTTTGATGGCAACCTAAAAAAAAACCCATCTTTTTTTTCGATTTTTTTTTTGTCTGTAGTATTTTTTTTTTCAAAATTATGTCAAAACTTTTTACTTTTTCGGTCCACTTGTAGCCATTGGCCTAATATCCCATTGGCCATTATGCAAATACCAAATAGTAGTCAGCATCAACATTTAAAAAAAAAAAAAAAAAAACAAATGAAAAAACCAAAATAAGCACCCCCCAAAAAAAAAGCTTATTTTTGGTTATTTTTGTCTTTTCTAAATCGTTTTTGAATTTTTTTTAAAAAATTATGATATTTCAATTTGTCTTGTCGAACTAAATCTAGAAATTTCAAATTTTTAAAAAAATTTAAAATTTTCTACTAAATAAGCACTAAAAAAAATCTAAAAAATAAGCAAAATCTATTTAGTCTTTAAAGTATTTAATTCAAACCTATTTAGTCTTTGAAAAAAATTACAAAAATAAATATAAATTCATAAATATTATAAATTAGTAAAATACCCTACCTAATTAAAAAAGGAAAAATTAATGAAAGATCTCTTTTCAACCTTTAGGGGTTGTTTGGGGTGTCCTAAATAAGTACATTTTTTGTCTTTTTGAACTAAAAAATTGAGGAAGAAAATATAGATGTTTAAATTAACTTTTTGACTTTTTATGGAAAAATGTGTAATAAAAAATTGTAAAAATTGGTTTGTAAGAGAAAATTAGGATTGGGAGTTGTGCAGCCGTAATTGTTGAATTTTGGTGAATAATATTAGCTTTTTAACTTTTTGAATAACTTTTTGACTTTTTGACTTTTCCTGAACATGCCAAACTTGACCTTAGTTCTAGGAGAAGGCCACTATAACTTTTTTTTTTTTTTTTTTTTTTTGTTAGTTCAGGTTCCTCATGTCAAAACCCACTCAATTCACCCATACCCACGCCTAGACCTACATCCACTTCTCTCTCTCTCTTTCTCTCATTTTTCTTTTTCTATTAAGAGAGACAAAGAAGTGACGGTGATGGTGAAGGGTGTTGTGTTAGTGAGGATCGCCGATGGTAAATTGGTAGTTTTTAGAGGGAGAAAAGTTTAGAGGTGATGAGTTTGCTAGTTTTCAGATAGAGAGAAAGAAGAAGAAGAATAAGAGGTAGTGGATTTGGTGGTTTATGAATTTTGCTGATAGATCAAATCACTAAGAAACAGATTGTTTATTCTTATTTCTTTGAAATTTATCTATGACAATTCATTCCGTTTTCTGTCATTTTTAATTTTCTTTGAACATGTTATTTTTGAATTAGAGCAGTGATGTAATTTTCTCTGGATATATTTATGATTTGTAAATTTCTTCGTGTTAGATTTATGGATTGGAAAAATTAATTGCAATTTATGAAATAGTTAGCAAATAAGATTTTCTCTCCATATTTTTTGATTTGAATATGTTTTTGCTTTTATTTTTGTGATTTTCAAAGTTAATTTAAGTTTATAAGATTAGTTTGTAATATATGTACGATTTGTAAATTTCTCTGAATTATATAATGTGAATTGAACAAGTTGTTCAGTTGTAGTTATTTTAACATAGATAAATCTTTTTGTTAAATGTTTTATTTGTGAAGTTTGTAAATTTCTCTGCTGTGTAATTTCCTCTTGACATGTTATTTTGTGAGCTAGATAATTTTGATTTGAAAGTTCTCTGTGTTTTTTATGTGATTTCTAGATTTCTTTGAATTCTATTTACACACAAGAGAGTACTAAATAAGTGTGTGATGGCTAAAGAAATTCCATAGCTCAAAGGCAAGTGGCCATTGAAATTTCACATACATATGAACAAATACAAACTCAAATAAATTCCATATCTCTAGGGAGTTGTAATGTGACAAGTGAAATTCAAATGCACAAGAGAATACTAAGGCCTCGTTTGGCAAGTGATTTTTTTAGTTAACAAGTCAAAAAGTCACTAAAAAAAATCAAAAAACCAATAACAAATACTGAAAAGTCCAAGATTTCATTTTTTCTCTACTTTTTTCACATCTTTTCGTAAAAATTCAAAAAGTCATTCTAAACATACTAGTTTTTTTACATCACATTTTAGTCAAAAAGTTACTAAAAAAGCCTGTTCCCAAACGAGGCTTAAGTAAGTATGTGATGGCCAAATAAAATGAACGTAACAGAGAAATTTAGCATAGGTTTTTCGCTAGATAAAATTAGCTGAATACAAATTCTTCAATTTATCACATGAAGAGATATTTAGTCTAGGTTTTTAGGCAAAGAAAATTGACTAAATAATAGGTAATATTGTTACAAATTTCACTACAATGGCAGAGAAATTTAGCTTAGGTTTTTTGTTAGAGAAAATCATCTGAACAAAGGGTGATGGTTTCACAAATTTCTCTAAAATAGCAGGGAAATTTCAATTTTACTAATTTCTGTAGATATCACACAGAGAAATTTAGCCTAAGTTTATCTCTGTTAATCATGGAGAGAGAATGACGCGAGGTATTTTGGACGCACCTTTTTTTTGCGGGACCTAAGCTACTATGAACTTTGTGGGTGCCATTTATCCTCTAATGGCATGTTTGATTGGGTGGATTAGAGTATGGGATTGGGATTATTAATCCGTGGGCCCAATTATTCTATGTTTGTTTTAACATTTTAGTTTAGGATTATTAATCCAACGGATAATTAATCCAACAAATTTGTAGGATTATTAGTAATGGGGTAGGGGTGGGATTATTAATCCAATGGATATTAATCCAATGGGATAGTGAATACCACACTAATTTAATAGGATTATTAATACTTCACTATTAGTCTTGTGAATCAAACATGACCTTACTGTATTGGACTTTTGTGATAATTTGTACTTTTTCACATGTATTGGGTATCACTTCAAATTATTTGATACTGAGCCCTAATTTTTAATATGAATTCTCTGTAGTTAGGCTTTGTCTGAAATGTGGATTGATTTTTTAGGTTTTTGATTTTTTAATTATTTTAATTTGGGGTTAAAAAACTTTGTTTGAGTTAAGTTATTTGGTTTTTTTGAGTTTTATAAGAGGAAAAATGAAATGATTATGGTTTGAATGTAATATTTTATCTTATTAGTTTTGTAACATATTTTGCCTTTTGTGATTATTTGAGTCCGCAAAAACTTAGATGACAAACGAGGGCTTTATGGATTCAATTATAAAAATCAAATATTTTTAAATTATGTGAATGAAATCAAATTGATATTTTTTTCCTGTATGGTGAACAAACAATGGGGGTGTTTGGTGTGAATTATAAGGAGTGATTATAACTTATTTTAATTTGAGAATAGGTGTCAGATTATTTGGTACAATTTTTGCTTATAATCTTTTAGGCAGAAATAACTTAAATAAGCTGAGAAAAATCGATTATTTAGAAGCTGGAGAAGGGGTGCTTCTACTCACAACTTTTTGATTATCAATTTTAACCCTATAATAGTCCACACCAAACACCCTAATAACTTATAAGATGTACGATTCAATTGAAATGGAGGTGAACGTTAGGGATCATACTCAACCAACCTGAATGCCTCTCCAATTGAGTATTTGAAAAGAAGACGCAATCCAGTGGTTTTATGCTATGATCATAAAGGGCACATTGTGCAGTTAGGTGCCAGAAATGCAAGTTTTCTATTCCAAATTTGAAAAATGACTTTCGGAAAAGAACGACAGGTGTGTTTGGAATTGTTTTCATTTATTGTACTCCATAAAACAAAAATTGAGAAACTTTAAAAACGCAAATCATTTTCATATTCATTTTCTTCAAATCATTTGCAATTGCATTTGTAATCAAAGTCCTACTTTTCTCATTCCAAAGATGAGAAATTAGATGAACAAGACATAGCTTCAATACTTCTGTAAGCCTTGCAAATGTTCTATTTCAATGAGAATTATATCTTTATCTTCCAAATTTTCGAAAGAAATGGCAAGAAATGATCCAGACAAATTACTCCCAATTGTTGTGTGCGCGTGTGTGAGTCTATACACAAAGGAAAAAAATTGTCTAATCAAACTTTGGGTATATTGCTAATCAAACTTGGGGACATCACAAAAGTCTTCATGATAGAACTCCCACTAAATCCAATAACAAAAAATGTCAAAAGCAAAATTTCTAGTATCAGAAATGTGTAAATTAATGACTAGATACACCAAATACTGCTCTTCCATTCATTGCCCATGCTTACTAACTCCTCATGGGTACAAAGTTTGGGTGGCGGTAGAATTCGCACAACCCAATTTTCAGAAGACCGGGATTCTAGTGAAATTAGAGATTCCCTTAACTCCCTCATTCAGTATTTGTCTCAAACTTTCCTAAGAGTCTAGAGATGGCAATGAATGCAATGGCAGTTGCATACTCTCTTCTAAAAAAGTTCAATTGCAAAAGCCAATTCAGAATAGAGCTTTCTTTGCACCAGTTCTCATCGTTCTTGTAGAATCCGATCTCACTGAAAAAAAGGAAGCTGAAGCTGAAGCTGAAACTGGAAAACATTCCTAAAAACTTATCTCACGTCTCTCACTGAAAAATTTTCCTGTCACTAACTGGTCAGGGTCTGGAAGCAAGGCAAGCCAAACTCCTGTGTCAGCCCCGTCCTCTGGTGAAGTATGCCCTGCCCAACCAGTCATGGCAGTCTTCACCCAGCCCGGGCAATAGCAATTTATATATATCTTTTGCCCTTCTGGTCGATCTGAAAGCATCTTCGCCATTAGCCTGGTGTAAGCATTAACGGCAAGCTTTGACATTGAGTAGTCGGCACATGTTTGAGGCCACTTTCCAGATGTCCAACTGCCATCTTTTACTTGCTCCAAAAATGTATTCACAGTCTTATCAATCAGTTCCTCAGATAGTGAGTCCACATCTTCCAATTGGTGCCTTAAAGTGAGATCTCCAATTCTCTGTCAGAGTCAAGAACTTTGATCATGTTAATATGATGCCAAGGGCACCCAAAAAAAGAAGAAAAAAAAAAATTGATTGAACAATGATTCATAAACTAGTTGTTCGGAATTTTAATTTCATTTTGCAAAAGTAATTCCCAAATATTTTTAGTGAAATGGGGTTGGGGTATGTCTATCTTCAATTACTCTAGGATTTGGTCCATTGAACTACTAAGTGCTTGAGAGAGAGGTATAGAGTGAGAGAGACCATGATTGATGAAATTCTGCTGCATTGTGAAGATTAAAGGAACTGATATTCCCAACAATTAGAGGAGGGGAAAAAAGAAAAAGAATCTTGGAGGAGTTGCACAAGACTGCTAGCTTCAATGATACAAAACAACAAACTCCGATAATATAAACAAATAATAACTAATAAATTATAAAAAAAGAAAAAGAAAAAGAAAAAGAAGCAATACAAGGACCAGAATTTGTTAAGTTCAAAATGAAAAAAACAATGACAAAAAGGTTTGTTGCAATCAAAGACGAGGAAGAAATTCAAACGTATTCTTCATGAATCAACAATTATAACAGGAGAAAGAAATCCCATGCTCATCATAACCGTCCCCAGAGCTGAGTTTCACACAAGTAGCTCCAATTTCAAGGCAAAAATATGAACCATGTTTTGCACTTTATATTCTTGTTTAATTATACAAGATGTCACATCTTCCACAAGCATAAAGCACAATTGTTTTAAGTAACTGGGGAATAGGATATTTTCTAAAAATTTCAACTGCAAGAGAGGGAAATTAGAGTAAATGGCATCTATCAGCATGCCTAGAAAAAAAAAAAAGTATCTATGCAGATCCATTTGGAAAATTAGAAAACCATCGTAAGCAAAAAGGCCCCTCCATTGTTTTAAAAATAGGGGGGAAAGGAGTAGTACGGAAATGAAAAGAAAAAGCAAAGCATTTACTTACATTTCGCTTGCCATTAAGTCTTCCCAACCGTGAGCTAACATTAACAATACGAGCACCTGAAGCATTAGGCCTCATTAACGGGATCATAGCTTTAATTATATTTTTGGTGCCAAAATAGTTGGTGGTTATGACCTGTTCAGCAAACTCGAGTTGATTGTCTGATCCATAGTTGAAATTAACACCAGCATTGTTTATCTGTACAAGTTTGTAGGGGCCATATGTTAAATGCTGATTATCTTCTATGCTACATTAGATATTATCTAAGAAGCACAAACACTTCTAAAAAGGTGACGCGTCTATGTCTAACATTGACACTCATCAAACACTTATTGACACTTGTCGGACACTTTCTTGACATGTTTTTGACACACGTCCAAACAAGTTCTATTATTATTATTATTTTTTTTCGAGTTAAACATTCTTCAAACACTTAGGAGACACTCAGAATCTAGGTAAGTATCTTGGAGTTCCCCTTTTGCACTCCAGAGTTAACAAACACCATTTTATACCTATTCTTGAAAGAATGCAAAAAAAGTTTGCTGGGTGGAAAACTGGGGTGTTATCTCTAGCTGGGAGGGCAACATTGATTCAATCAGTGACCAATGCCATCCCAGCTTATACCATGCAGACATTGGAGCTTCCTCGTAAGGTTTGTGATGAGATTGATAAACTCAATCGTAATTTTCTCTGGGGTGATTCCTTGGAGAGGAAAAAAGTGCACTTAGTCAACTGGCAACAGGTGTGTCATAAGAAAAAGAATGGTGGCCTTGGGATTAGAAGGGCTAGGGATCAAAATCTAGCATTACTATCTAAGCTTGGCTGGAAACTGTTGAATGAGGAAGAGGGTCTCTGGTTGGAGGTCCTGAGAAATAAATACCTGGGAAATTAACACTTTCTCAGTAAAAAGAAGAGTAAAGTTTCCTCCCATATCTGGAAAGGGATCCTGAATACCAGAAATCTCCTTGTCAAAGGGGTTCATTGGACCATAGGTTGGGGCTCTAAGGTGAGAGTTTGGAAAGACTGGTGGTGTGGTGAAAGGGCCTTGGTTGAGGCTCCTACTACTAACACAAGGCAAGCCATTGAGATGGAGGATACCACTGTGGACTCCCTTGTTGATATTAATGGGGAGTGGAATTTAACTCACATCTATAACACTTTTCCTATGCCCATTATATCTGAGATTCTGAAAATTCAGCCCCCTAGAAATAATGGTGGCAGGGACAAACCGAAATGGAGAAAATCTCCTGATGGGGATTTTTCTACATCTAGGGCATATGACCTTATTATGTAGTCTCAATCCTTGGAGAATAATTGGGTTTGGCATTGGAAACTCAAGATTCCTCCAAAGATTAAGAGCTTCTTGTGGCTTATTTTGATTGGGAAACTAATGACAAATAGAATCAGACACACGAGGGGTTACAGTGACAATCTCAATTGCCCCAGCTGTGAAACTGTGAAGGATCTAGACCACTTACTGCGGCTCTGTCCTAATGCCACGAAAATTTGGAAACAGGTTTTTGATCAAGCTTGGTATTTGAAAATGTGTGCTCTCCCTTTTGATGTTTGGTTAACTCTGAATATTAAAGGGAAGCATTCCCAACCTCAGCTTTTTGTTATCTCTCTATGGATTATTTGGAAAAATAGAAATAAATTGATTTTTGAGAACAAACAACCAAACTGCCATGTTTTGGTTAAGCTAATTTTTGATTACACTAAAGAAGTTAAAAAAGCCTTTGAATCTGTTGTTACTACCCCTTTACAAACTAAAAGCTCATCTTTGTGGTTGTGTCCACCTGCAGGGAGAATCAAACTCAATACAGACAGAAGTCTTAAAGGTACTAATAACAATGGAGGATTCGGTGGGTTGTTTCGGGATGAGAAAGGAAGTTGGATTAGTGGATATTATGGCAGAATGGAGAGATGCACCAGCTTGGAGGCAGAGCTCTGGGCAGTGTATAAAGGGCTCACGATCATTTTGCAGCGAGGAATGAACATGGTAATCATCGAAACGGATGTAGAACAAGTGGTGCAACTGCTAAATGAAGAACCAGGTACTAAATGCCCTTTCTGTGGCATTGTGGAGGACTCAAGGATCATCTTGAGGGGATGTGAGTGTACAGTCCAACATGTCCACAGATGAGGCAACATTTTTGCAGATAATTTAGCGAAACTTGGAGCTAATCAACCTCTTGAGCTGCTCATTGTGAATGAACCTCCAGACGAAATTCGCCATGCGTCAGTTGCGGATTTGTTGTATCTGGATGGAAGTAATGAGGCCTAGTCCTCTTGTTTTTCTTTTAATTTCCATTGTACCAAAAAAAAAGAAGAGATATTTAGTCTAGGTTTTTAGGCAAAGAAAATTAACTAAATAATGGGTAATATTGTTACAAATTTCACTACAATGACAGAGAAATTTAGCTTAGGTTTTTTGTTAGAGAAAACCAACTGAACAAAGGGTGATGGTTTCACAAATTTCTCTAAAATGGCAGGGAAATTTCAATTTTACTAATTTCTGTAGATATCACACAGAGAAATTCAGCCTAAGTTTATCTCTGTTAATCATGGAGAGAGAATGACGCGAGGTATTTTGGACGCACCTTTTTTTTGAGGGACCTAAGCTACTATGAACTTTGTGGGTGTCCTTTATCCTCAAAAATCATAATATTAGGGATCTTAAAAAATTTTTCCCTTAAGTTTTTATTTAAATAAATCTTAAAATTTTATTCTATCTTCTACCATCGCTACTGGATTTCCTTTATCTAGTATTATATGTTGAATTTTGATTATAATTTCTAATTTATTGCCTTTAAGTTTTTTATTAATTTTTTTTATAACTTAATTAATGTATTAGTTTGTTCTAGTATTATTTGTAGAGAAGTATTATTACTTAAATTATTTTATTCTACTTTTTGGGTATATCTAATACTCATATAAATCTATTGCCAAGACAAAAAAATCAAGCTTTGATACTAATTGAACACATTGCAAAACAAAACACTTTTAGGAGAAATTTAAGATTTTTTTCAAATAAAATCTTAATTAAGTCGGGTCTTCTATTAATTTAAAATACTTACGGATTTATATTTCATTTTTAATGTTTTTAAGAATTAAATATGTTTAAATTAAATATTTTAAAAACTTAATAGATTTAATTTATAATTTAAGAACTAAATAAATTTTGATTTATATACTTTAGACACCTAATATATTTAAGAACTAACGATTTTTTGATATTTCAAAGGTAAAAAATTGTAATAAAACCAAATCAAATTAGATGAAAAATTTGAAAAATAATGGGAGAGGGTCTTATTGCAATGGATAAATTTCACTAATAATCTTTATAATTTTTCTCAAATTTTAATTTAGTTCCTGTAATTTCAACTCCAACACATTTTGACCTTGCAGTTTTCCTTTAATTAACCGGTGTTAGAATTCTTAACAGAAAATCGAACACATCTGTAGTCAGATTCGTCTCAGTAGCAATAGAATCCACATTCTCATAATCACAGTGCTTATGTTTTCAGAAAACCAAATCAAAACCCTAATTTGATGAATCCAACTCCCTAAAATCTTCTTCTTCCAAGCCCTAATAATCCTCCAATGGCAGCAGTCTCTGTCGCCGCCGAATGGCAGCTCCTCTACAACCGGTACTACCGTAAGCCGGAAATCTACCCAATGCAATGGAAACACGTCGATCTCAGCCGCAACAAGGTCGCCTGTGCTTCCTTCGGCGGCCCAATCGCCGTCATTCGCGACGATTCCAAGATAGTCCAGCTCTACGCCGAATCGGCTCTCCGAAAGCTCCGAATCTTCAACTCTGCCGGAGTCCAAATCTCCGAAACCGTTTGGAAAAACCCAGGTGGCCGATTGATCGGTATGTCCTGGACCGATGATCAAATTCTTGTTTTTGTTACTCAGGATGGTACGGTTTATCAATACAACATTCACTCCGAGCTAATTGAACCCAATCTTTCGATGGGCAAGGAGTGTTTTGATCACAGTGTTGTGGAATGTGTGTTTTGGGGAAATGGGTTGGTTTGTATCAATGAGGCCAATCAGTTGTTTTGCATTCCGGATTTTAAGAACCCGAAACCCTGCAAGCTCGCTGACCCGAATTTGGAGGAGTTTCCGCTCTGTGCTGCAGTGATCGAGCCGCAGTATACTATGTCTGGGAATGTGGAGGTGCTGCTTGGGGTGGATGATCATGTGTTGTTGGTTGAGGAAGATGGGGTTCAGCAAGTGGGTATTGGCTTGGGTCCGTTGCAAAAAATGGTGGTGTCGCGAAACGGGAAGTTGTTGGCTTCGTTTACTCATGATGGGAGGCTTTTGGTGATGTCTACAGACTTCTCCAAGATTATTTTTGAGTATAGTTGTGAGGTTGGTTTGCAGTTTTATTCATTAAGAACGTGTTTTGGGCATTAATATAGTTTGCTATTGTCATCTGATATGATATGTTTACTGGTTTCATTTCCCATAGCATGCAAATTTGTAGTTTGACATTTGAGGTTCAATACATTAGGATGAGAGGAAGACATAATTCATTAACGGTAATAGAAAATATTAATAGTAATAGGAATAGTAATGTTGCTCCATTTGCTTTTGGTGATGCTACAGACTTCTCCATGATTATTTTCGAGTATAGTTATGAGGTTGGTTTTGAAATTTTCTTCATTAATAATGTGTTTTGGTCATTATTATAGTTCACTATTGCAATCTGATATGATATATTACTGGTTTCATTTCATATAGCATGCAAATTCATAGTTTGACATTTGAGTTTCAATACATTAGGATGGCAGGAAGACACAATTCACAAACAGTAATAGTAATAGTAATGTTGTTTCATTTGCTCGAGCTTGATGTGATCCCTGGCTGAGGGCCTGTTGTTTGTGTTTTGTTTTATGTTTGTGTTTTATTTTGTAAGATTTTGAAAAGCAAAATGAAAACATGTTTTGTGCATGTTTTTATTATGAGTTTTTGAAAATTGTTTTCAAACCAAGGCTCCAAATTGTAAAACCATTTTTTAAAAAATATTTTACTGAAACAAGTGAAAAAATGTTGATGAACAGTAAACAGAAGCCCATTTGCACTTCAAACTCTTTTGAGGGCCTGTTGTTTGTGTTTTGTTTCATGTTTTTTTTTATTTTAAAGATTTTGAAAACAAAATGAAAACATGTTTTCTGGTTTTGAGCTTTTGAAAAATGTTTTCAAAACAAGGTTCCAAATTGTAAAAACATTTTTTAAAAATATTTTTATTGAAACAAGTTGATGAACAGTAAACAGAAGCCCATTTGCACTTCAAACTCTTTTGGGAGAAAAATAAAAATATGTTTCCTGTTTTCTAGAGACAAAGAAAATGAAAAATGTAAATGACCCCTAAATATTCCTGATCGATAATATGGAGTTATTGGTTCGTTGGAGTAGATAGAATGGTGTTTTTATTCTTGACCCCACTTGACCATCTCTGCACATAGATTGAATCACAACCTTGCCCAGAACCCAAACCAGATTTATTGGAGCTAAAACAAAGTTGGTGGAAAACGGACATACCAAACTAGAATAGCCTGAACCACTAAACTAGTTAGTTAGAACCCCTACCTACAAGAATCTTTCACAAGGATGCTAGGAATGAAAAGGATGAAGTCCACGTTTTCCAACTTCTTCAAAGTGAGGTTTCCAAGCTTGAATCCACTAAAAATGAAGTAAGGAGACTTGTACGAAGAGTGTTAGAAGTCCACCTTCATCTACTTGGTGATAGAGGAACCAAAAGAAAGTAATATGGCTTTGAGAGAAACTTAGAGAAGAAAAGAGGAAGAGAGAAATTTGTGAGTGAGATAGAGTGGAAAGTGAGAGATATGTTCTACAAAGTGTAACAATAAAATGAGGGGAAGAATGGCCTTAATGTGGCTGACCAAGGGTGTGTTTGGGTGAAAAAATGTGTTAGTCCAATTGTCCTTTGATGTTTAAAGTGATCTCCCCTAGAGGAATGGGTCTTATGTATTGGGTAATTCAAGTAACCTTCCAAAAATGAACTTTGAGTGTGCAAGTAATGCATGACGATCATAAGAACTTGTGTTTTAAGAAATATGTCAGTATCCAATGCCTAAATAAGCATGGTGTAAGAAAAAGGAAAAGAAAGTGAGGTCAAACCTTACTCATCCAACTGGAGCTGAAGTATCTACGTAAAGTAAGAGATAATAACTGCAGGGAAACCATTTACAAAAGAACCCTAAAAAACATCGGGTTGCATGTAAATGAGGTGCTCTACCTAACCGAGCTACAATTCTTAGCGCTTGTGATCCATACTTTATCATGTAGATAATTTCTTGTTAAGATGACTAAGTGTTTGTATTTCAAATCTTGATGAGATGAGCATGACTAGTTTGGGGAATGGGATAAAAAATATATATATGAATACATACATATACATCATATATACCGCGTAATACATGTTAGGTATATAACTTCCCAAATACTTACACTTTTGGCCAAGCAGTCTAGGGTTTGTCATTTATAGGAACACTAACATGTTTATCAACCAAACAAAAGCAACTCAAGCTTTACCAAATATGGAAACACTAACAATTTAGTCAAGCAAGTAAAAGTATCCCAAACATTTACCTTGTTGAGAATATCAATCTGGTCTAATTTCAACTAACTAGTCCATGTAACCATATTCCACTTTGGGCTAGGATACTTTTGAAGTCACATTCCAATTAAGGTTGAACTAGGAGAAATTTGCTAACCTTATTCACATTTTAATTTATAGATGAAATTAAGGCGAATAGTTCAATACCATAACCAAACTAATTTATCAATTGTCACCCAAGATGATGCATTAATTAAATCATATAATAATTAACTGGTGCATTAGTCAATTAAATTAAGGTTTGAATTTTCAAGACAGTACAATACATATATATATATATATATATGTATATCCATTTTTACTCATCATTTTCTCTCTATATATCCATTTCAGATGCCAACCTTTTTTATTGATTGGAAACAGCTTATATGACATATCTGTGCTTTCTTTTTTCCTTCCATTTTCACTTGCATAGTCAGCCCTACCTCCAGAACAGCTAGCTTGGTGTGGAATGGATAGTGTGTTACTTTATTGGGATGATATGCTTTTGATGGTCGGTCCTTATGGAGATCCTGTGCGCTATGTTTATGATGAATCAATTATGCTCATCCCAGAGTGTGATGGAGTGAGGATACTTTCGAACACAAGTATGGAATTTCTACAACGAGTCCCTGATTCAACTGTATCTATCTTTAAGATTGGGAGCACATTACCTGCAGCTTTGCTTTATGATGCCTTGGATCATTTTGATCGGCGGAGTGCCAAGGTAGGTGACCTCTTATGCGTAAACATAGCGTACTTACTTCTGTGATTATTTGCATACATCCTTTTCCTCATTTATCCTTTCATGTGGGCGGCTTAGATGTATTTTTCTCTTTTCCTTTTTGAAGTGTATATATTGAATCACATGCAATGGAATATCTTCTTCTATGTCTTTGTTCATGGGACACAAGTGAACTACATTTAGTTTGTGTGACAATATTGGAGGGGGATTAGTTAATTTAACACCTCGCACGAAGTGATTGTATAAGGAAAGGTACACATTCATTGGGGAAAGTAGCAAAATTCAACAACTCAAATAGCCCTTCATCCTTTTAACAATGAAAAAAGAAGCCTTAATCCCTAGGAAGCACGGATACAGATATGGGATACGGTGATACGACGATATGTTAAAATCTGAAAAGTAAGATACGGGTACGGCGGGGATACGTTCGTAAAAATTTTTTTTTATTTTTTTATTTTTTATAATTTTAATAATGTAATATGTATGAAAATAAAACCTAAAACAAAAAAAAACATTCATAAAACATATAATATTAAACTTATTAATTAAATTTAAAAATTGATAATCCTAAGGTTCCATTTAAAAAAATTCGAAACTCACAAAATATATATATATAATTAATATAAAAGGGGAAAAAAAAAACAGTGCAGATAGACAAAAATGTGAGTGAGAGAGTGAGAGAGGAGTGAGAGAGACGAGAGGTAGAGAGCAAGATGAGAGTGAGAGAGACGGAGAAAGAGAAAACGTAGAGTGAGAGAGAGAGAACCTGTTGTTGTATGCTTCGATTTGTCGAGAGAGAGAACTGTTGCTGTGATTTTTGCTTCAATTTTGCTAATTTTTGCTTCGAAGTTGAAAACCAGATTTTTGCTTCGATTTGAGCTTGGGGTTGTCTTTGATTTGATTTGACGAGCTGATGTGATTTGTATATTTGCAATTCAACTTCTTTTATTTATGGTTTGACCCATAAAAAAGTTTTCAAAATTATGTTTTTTGCCCCTCCGTATCCCAAATGTATCCATAACATATCTTCCTGTATCCAAGCCATATCCAAAATTCAAAAAAAGAAAGAAAAAAAATAGGGACACTTTCTAGCCATGTCCAATATGTATCTGGATGTATCTGACGCGTATCTATATCCGATACGTATCTGATACTTTTATGCGACCTATTTTGCAGTATCTGTGCTTCATTGCTTAATCCTATTACTTTCTATATTATGATCATTTTCTTATAAAAATAAAAAGAATAATAAACAAAACGCCAGAAACAACCAAATATATGTCCCAAGGATAAATGTAGATGCAAATCTCTCTCTTCCCCTTTTCTGTGATATAGTGGTAATTGTTTGTTAAAGATGAATGCACTGGCTAAGTATATGGGTATTAGGTACTAAATAGGTACGTGAAAAGTGTTCAAAATTAAGTAAAAGTGTTCGTAAAATTCTTACATGATTTTTTTTCCACCAGGCAGATGAAAATTTGAGATTGATACACTCATCGTTGCCTGAGGCTGTTGAAGCATGTATTGATGCTGCGGGTCATGAATTTGATGTCTCACGACAAAGGACATTGCTAAGAGCTGCGAGCTATGGCCAAGCTTTTTCCAGGTTGGTTTGGAAGCATTTTTGTGGTAGTTGTTTTTCATTAGTTAAAGCTAGTTATGAAAAATGACAAATCAAATGTTTTTGTATATAATATGATTCATTTTTCTCTTTACAAACATGTTTAATACAAAATCAAGTATTGCAGTTTGGCTTAACAATCTATTCATCTGATAGAGATCGATCAATTTATTTTGAGTGACTTTGTGTCAAAGGTAAATACCGTATTGGATTATTATCTTGGGCATGGATGGCGCCAAGGTTGTAAAAGTCAAGACCTATGGTGGATCATTGCAGAGGTCTATAAAAATAGATCAAGAATCCTAACGAGAAAAAATTGAGTTGTATCATACATGGAAATATAGAATTCTGACAAGTGAGTGGAGAACAACTCTAAAATTCAAAATTTATGGCACACATATAGGACATAAGTATTTACAAGCAAATGGACTAACAGGTGCATGATCATACAGATTTGGATTCTTATTTATTATTTAACCAAAGAATACTCAGATTTAATATTACAAGCAGGGAACAATTCTCCAAAAAAAGCCTACGAAGAATACAGCCTATAAAGTTTGTATGTGTAAGAGCATCTCTAACGTTGAATCAAAAATTTCATCAAATTTGAGTAAAAAGTTGATGAAAAGTTTGGCTAAAGCTAGAATTTTCATCTGATTTTTTCACATACCGGGTTATTCGTGAGGATGTCCGGGCGGATGTCCCGGAGGTCATCCAGACATGAACAAAAAAGCCGTCAAAGTTACTCTTGGCTGGACATCTGGGTGGATATTCGGTAGGATGTCTGGCCCAACGGTAACAATTTAAATTTGATAAAAGATGAAAGTCTCCCTTCATTTGATGAAAGTTTTGGTTCATCTCTCATTTGATATGAGTTTGATGAAAGGGTTGGAGGTGATATAGTTGCCGTTTTTCATCAAATATAAATTTGATGGAATATTAGATGCAGTGTTGGAGATGGTCTAAGCAATGCGTTATTTTGTGAGTTAAGGAAACAAAGCTTCTTTTTTCCTTTTCTCTTTTGGAGGATCTCTTTTCCTGGTTTTTCTTTTTTGTATATTCTCCTTTCTGTTTATTAATTCCTTTTTTTGTTGATAAACAAAGCTTCTTTTATTTTATTTTATTTTTTAAAAATTTCTTTTGCTTCTCCTTTGAAAGTTTATAAAGAAGAATGAGATTTGAACTAGAGGTTTGCTGAAATAATTATGTATTACAGCTCCAGATTTCTTGAAACTGATATGATTTGAAGAGCTTTGTAGAATGAGATTTGACAAATAAGCTACGAAACATAGACCCTTCTTAAGGTGGCATGTTCATGTTCGACATGTGTTGGACATTGACACTTTCAGACACATGTCCAAACATGTACTGTTATCTTTTAAATGATTATTTATACTTGGGACACACTACAGGCACTTGAGGGATACACATGTCTGTTAGTTAACCACACATGAAACGCTTTACAAGGTTGATTAAAATAATTTATGATCTAATGATATAAGAAAAACAATGAGATTTGTGCCTATTAATCCATGAATCTGGATCCTCTATAGTGCATTGTTTGTATTGTCCCAAAACGACATCACTTTGGGGAGGGGGAAAAGGATAGGGGTTGGTTCTGTTTTTTTTTTTTTTAAGTTTTGCGCTAACACGACGTCGTTTTGGAGCACTATAGGGTGCACTACAAGCAATGCATTATAGAGGATCTCGATTCATATATGACACATAATAAATATGTAAAATCTTATATTTTGTACTTGTTCCCCACATGTAGTGCCTTGCATTTTTTTGAAATTGGAGTAGGTGTTCATGTCGGTGTTGGTGTCGTGTCATGTGTCCGTGCTTCTTAGCCAAGACAAGTCAAAACATACTATGGCATCTTTGGATATGGCTTTATTTATTTTCCCCACTGTTTGGATTCGAATTTTAACATGTATAACATATTTAGCTTGTTAAACTACAAAGAACACCAAATCCTCATTAACATAAAATTATGTTGTAATACTTGTTTTAGACTTATTATTCTAAATTTTGTTGTGTGTGAAGAACTTCCATTGTCTTTGTTTTGTGAGTACATCACGACAGAAGAATAGAATGTTTTTTTTGCTTAGCTTATATGTAGGACTTCTCCATCCACAATTGGTTTATCAGAGACCTGTCAATGTGACACCTGTGTTGACCACTTGTTGGACATGTCAAAAGACTTCACAATTTACGTAAGGATTTTCCCAGTATAAGGATGCCAATCTATTAAAGAATTTATCCTATGGTTACTGTATTTTTGTTGATCAACTATGCAATTGTTTCTCTGCATGCATAAACACATGCCTATACAGTAATTACCTTGTACTTATACAGGTAGATATGACCTATCCAATAGAGTAAATATTACAACACAAAAACACGTATCTCTCTGTTCAGATTTTGGGTAATGTCTACATCCAAGTCCTATTCCTTCCATCATTGGCTTTGACTGAAGTAGGACAAGTAGGGATTTCTTTCTTACAAGTAGTGAACCCGAGTTAAGTATACTGGCAGCAACAACAATAGACTTATAGGGTTAGATTTGGTGGGAGTTTGTGACTGCAAAAGTATTTAAAAAATTGAAGTTTAACGGTTTGTAAAAGGGTAGGGTTTTGGGAATGAAAACAAAAGTATTTAGGGATTATTGGGTGGCTGTTCTAAGCACTGTGAACAGTGACGTGAACATTAACCTTGCTGGATAGAAAAAGAGAATCACACAAACACAATCTCAAATCTTGATAATATTGACTCTACTCCTTTGTTGCACGAAGCGGGAGCAGGAGCGGGAGCGGGGAATCGTAGTCATTCCAAGAATCGTTGATAGGGAGCGTATGTATATATATTAAATAATATAATATATATAAATATATTGTAAGATTATATATTTTTTTCTCTAATAATAATAAAAATATATATATGTTACAAATTATATATATATATATATGAAAAATCATATGTTAAAATATTATAATTATATACTTTCATTAGATTTTTTTCATTTATTCTAAAATATTTATATTATTTTTTTATTTTATATAATATCTAATTAATTAAACACAACATAAAAATTTACAACTAAATAACAAATAAACATTATTTTAAACATAAATAACTATTCATTTTAAACATTCATTTTTGTGAGTTGGCCAACACAAGATAATAAATTAGTTAGGTGAAATTTATATATATTTGTGCAATCACAACCAGCAAGGCAGATTTCATTAATTGTAAAAAGAGAAGAGTTAAATCAAAAGTCATTTCGTATAAATATGACATTAAGACACAACTAGAATTAAATGAAAAGATGTTAATTTATAATATAAAATCTATACGTATATAAATGAAAAATAAGAAATTTAAGTATTAAAAGGCTTTTCAGTCTTGAACGGAGAGGGAGAGAGATAGAGAGAGAGAGAGACAAAGAAGAAGAAGAAGTAGACGACGCCTAATGAGAAAAAGAAGAAGATGCCTGCGAAGCACAAAGCTTGAGAGGAGATGAATAAGAAGATGAAGATCACAGCTTGAGGAGAAAATACATGGAATAAGACAACGCGATCTCCACTTTTGTAGCCCTAATCGCAAGTCCATATCAGGTTTTTCTTTTCCTTGCGATTCTCTCTCTCTCTCCCCTTCTTCTTTGTTGTTGCCATGAAACACAAATCCTTAGCTTGAGCGTTCCCATCCAGTTAGATCCACGATTCTATCTCAATGGGGATGCGATTCTAACACAATTCTTGCTATGAATCGTTGAATCGCGATTTTAGACGAGAATCGTCTCCCCTTCCCACGGTTCCTGCTACTAAGCTCTGCTTCTCAATCATTGAGATTACACATATTTATAGGCTAAAGAATCTCCTAATTCTATAAGGACTATAACTCAAATTTAGAATCTAAAAATATTTAGCAACTAATAATATTCTAGACCAACTATGACTTCTAATTCTACTTCAATCATAATAGGAAATTTTAATGAATTCTAATTCTACTTCAATATCAAAATTGAAAATTTAGACTTTTGACTACTAAGATTATTTTAGACATAATAAAACCCATATATGATGACCTATTTACTAACTTGATCCAAAATAATAAAACTCATGGGCGACCTCTACAACTCATGTCCAACAATTATTAGAATTACCATTATACCCTTAATTACTAAAACCTACTATAATGACATGTAGACTCAAAATAATTCCAAATCTTTAATTCTTGATGCTCTAAATGTGCTTCATTTGAAATTTGAAATTTGCTTTTTTTCTTCTTTCCATGATCTTCATCATTCTCCCTTGCATTCGAAAAAACTCGACCTCGAGTTTTGTAATGTTGAAGTATAAGGATTATGGACTTTTGCACTTGCAACCATTCAAATTGATTGTTTTGAATGAACGATGAGAAAATCAGAAAGCTCAATGTTGTCATCACACCATTGACCACATAGAATTATTAGGAATAATAAACTCAGTGTGAACTACATTTTTCTTGTGAAGATTACAAAGTTCAGTTACATTCGCATCATTTTCTTTGGCTTCCTTCACTTTAGAACCTTGATCATGATGATTTTTCATGCTTTCTTTAGTAAGAAAATTAATTTTCGCCTTTGTTTCTTCAACATCCTCAATATTAGCAACATGCTCATCTTGCTCTTTCATAGTTTCTTCAAAATCTTTAACACTATCATCCTGTTGCTCCTGGATAGTAGTCTTCTCTAAAATAGCAGCCAACAATCCTTCCATGGAAGCTTTCAATCCATTCAAAGTTGTTTTGATAGTATGCACATCACTCTTTATTGTTTTACAACATCATCCTTAATTATCACAAAATCCTCCTTTAACATCGCAACATCTTTCTTAGTAGCTCTATAATTTGTTGACAAGGCTTCAAACTTCCAATTTATTTCAATGCTTAATAAAGAAAGTAATTTCATCAAAAGATTGGTAAGGAACAAGGTAGGATCTTCA